TGCCCAGCAACACCCAGCAGTGCCCAGCAGAGCCCAGCACTGCCCAGCTGGTGATCTGGGCGCACGCAGACAGCGGCAGGCACGCTGGTGGGCTGCAGGAGGGGTCAGGCCTGAAAAAAGGCCCTGTGGAAGTTGAGGGAGCTCTCGCCAGGCGATCCAGCAGTAGGTGGAAGCTCCTGGTTGGTGCCACAGGGCACCGGGCTGCTGGCAGCGCGGCTGGGTGAGGCAGGGCTGCAGGATGTGTCCATCTGCTCACAGCTCCAGCTGCTCACACCTCCCTTCACGTGCAGAGCGTCAAGGGGGTCATCGAGTGCCTGAAGATCATCACCAGGGCCAAGTCGCAGCGCATCGCCAAGTTCGCCTTTGACTACGCCACCAAAAAGGGCCGCTCCAAGGTGACGGCCGTGCACAAAGCCAACATCATGTGAGTGCAGTGTGCACCCTCAGCAATTTGCTGACGACACCAAGCTGAGCGGTGCGGTTGATACGGTGGAAGGAAGGGATGCCATTCAGAGGGAGCTCGACAGGCTGGAGGGCTGGGCTCGGGTGAACCTGATGAGGTTCAACACGGCAAAGTGCAAGGTTTTGCATTGGGGCCGGAAGAACCCCAGGCACCCGTACAGGCTGGGAGGAGTGGGCCTGGAGAGCAGCTCGGCAGAGAAGGACCTGGGGGTCCTGATGGACGAGAAACTGAACATGAGGCAGCAGTGCGCTCTGGCAGCTCGAAAGGCAAGTGGGATCCTGGGCTCCATCAGGAGAGGGGTGGTCAGCAGGGACAGGGAGGTGATCGTCCCTCTCTACTCGGCTCTTGTGAGGCCCCATCTGGAGTCCTGTGTCCAGGTGTGGAGCCCTCAGTGCAAGAAAGACATTGAGATTTTGGAAAGGGTGCAGAGGAGGGCGACTGAGATGAGCAGGGGGCTGGAGCAGCTCCCCTATGAGGACAGGCTGAGGGAGTTGGGCTTGTTCAGCCTGGAGAAGAGAAGCTGCGGGGTGACCTCAGTGCAGCCTATCAATACCTGAAGGGAACCTACAGCCAGGAGGGGAGTAAACTCTTCCAAAGGGCTGACAACAGCAGGACGAGGGGAAATGGATCCAAATTGAGGGAGGGAAGATTGAGGTTGGATGTTAGGGGGAAGTTCTATACAAGGAGAGTGGTTAGGCCCTGGAACGGGCTGCCCAGGGAGGCTGTGGATGCCCCGTCCTTGGACGTGTTCAAGGCCAGGTTGGACGGGGTCCTGGGCAACCTGATCTGAATGTGTGTGTTTGGTGGCCCTGCTGGGCAGGGGGTTGGAACTCCATGATCCTTGAGGTCCCTTCCAACCCGGGTGATTCTGTGATGCTGTGATGCTGTGGGGCACGGCTGCCTGCAGGCCTCGCTGCTCTCGGCTCTCGGTCCCCTCGCAGCGATGCCAGATGCTGGTGTGGCTCCAGAGAGGCCGGACGTTTCCTGGCAGCTGCTCTTCCCCTCTGCGTGGCCTCATGGCTGCCGCAGGCCTTACTGAGGCCTGAAAGCTGTCAGCTGAGCGGGGAAAAGCTCCTGCATGGGAGGCAGCTCTGTGTGCTCCCCAGGCTCTGACTTCACCGCTTTGTTTCTGCAGCATGAGCTGCCCTGGGGCTGCCTGCCCCCCTCCCTGCTGCGTTTTGACACCGACTGCTGTTGGATTCTCACTCTGCAGTGATTTCACTGCTGTCCTGCAGAACCCTCACGGTGTGTCCTCTGTCTCTCAGGAAATTGGGTGACGGGCTCTTCCTGCAGTGCTGTGAGGAAGTGGCAGAGCTCTACCCCAAGATCAAGTTTGACACCATGATCATTGACAACTGCTGCATGCAGGTGAGGATCTCGCTTCCTTACCCAGAGCCGTTCTGCACCTCCAGCTGCTGCTCTGCCTGTTGGGCCAAGGGATAAAAAGCTGACACCTGAGGAGTGCTGCTGCTGTCAGCTGCCAGGTCTGGGTGCTTCCCTGTGTCCTGGCCTGAGGTCTGCTGCTTGCAGGGGGGAGCACAGACTGGGTGCTCCAGGCCTTTCCCTGCTCTCCACCGGCTGAGGGCAGGAGCTGCAGGGCTGATGCCTGGGGCCTGCAGCTGATGCCTGGGATGGGCCCGCGGCATCTGATCTGTCTTAGCTGTGCTCCCTGCCGTTACTGACCGCATGTCAGGCTGTGCCTGTGGTTCTGCTGTTGCACGACTCGCAGCCCCTGCCCTCCTGTCGTCGGCGCTGAGCGCTGCGCAGGGCTCACATCTCCCCTGCCCTCCGCGCAGCTGGTGCAGAACCCCTACCAGTTCGACGTCCTGGTGATGCCAAACCTCTACGGGAACATCATCGACAACCTGGCGGCCGGTTTGGTGGGCGGTGCAGGCGTGGTGCCCGGGGAGAGCTACAGCGCCGAGTACGCCGTGTTCGAGATGGTGAGGAGGCGGCCGCGGTTCCCGGCGGCGCTGGGGCCGCTCTCTCTCGGCGGCGCTGGGGCCGCTCCGTCACCCGCTTGTCCTCCCGCAGGGCGCCCGCCACCCCTTTGCCCAGGCCGTGGGCAGGAACATCGCCAACCCCACGGCCATGCTGCTGTCGGCCTCCAACATGCTGCGGCACCTCAAGTACGGGCCGGGGGCGGGGAGGGGGGCGGCGCTGCGTGCGGGGCCGGGAGCGGGGCCGGGAGCGGGACTGGGAGCTGGGCCGGGAGCGGGGCTGGGAGCGGGGCCGGGAGCGGGGCTGGGAGCGGGGCCGGGAGCGGGGCTTGGAGCGGGGCTGGGAGCGGGGCTTGGAGCGGGGCTGGGAGCGGGGCT